ATGCCAAATAAAGCACATAAGTAGCCTTTTTTAAAAAAAGCATCCATTTAAATCATAAAATAAGAAACCAAATATAATTATCTAGAATGCTATGAAAATTATTTCATACAGCAGCAGATGATGCATCCCAGATGCTTCTAATGGGCAAATTTTGCAGTGCTTACTCCATAATTTCCTGCATTTCAGAGTTGAAAATAGTGATGCTCTTGAGCATGAGTAAGTAGGGCTAGAGACAAAGTAGATGGGGCCAGGAACAGAGTAGTGTGGTTTAGTAAACAGTGACAAAGTTAATATGATCCAGACTCAGAATGTGCTACAAGCATAAAGCAGAACTAAAATTACATGCAAACAGTGCTTCTGGACTCTGGAGACAAAAGTAGAAAAGCAAGTTGTGATGGACTGCACTTTAAAAGCTCATAAGTGTTAGCCACAACACCTGGTCTCTGTCTGAGTTATGATGGGGGAATTAGTTAAGAGACTGTTTGCTTAATAGGTGCACAAACTAGGGATCGTACTCCAACAATACCAGAGTCAGAACCCTCTCGGAGCTGCACAGCTGACAGACAGGAAATGTCTTTCTCTGAAATTTATTAATAAAATAACCCTAATACAATCAGCTAATCAATGGAATATCACACAAACACACACGCAAACACACACCAGAGAGCTAGAAAATAAAGAGGTGAAGTGATCTTAAAGAGATCAGTGACAAAAGAGGGTGAAGCATTGAGGGAGGGGGGTTATAGCTACCTTCCAAAGAGAAGAGTCCACAGTGAAGAGAAGCAGATTGCTTGGCTGGCAAGCATGTCTGAGAAGACCCAAAAGACATGGTTGATCCAGCCAGTACGCATCCCAGGAGATGGAACCAAAGATGGCTGAGTTTGGAGTCCTGATACAGGAAAGCTGTGCCTTTGGGGCAGTGGGCACAATGGGGAAATGGTCCGTGATGGGCCAGGATGGCTGGTAATGACTCGAGGGGTTTGGGATAAAAGAAGGGAAACCTTTGTTGGCAAGATATTGGACAATTGCAGAATCTTGGCTCCATTAATGGCTAGGCATTCAAGAAAACAATAACGACAATAGGCTGCAGCCAGGGTAGTCCCAGTATCGGCTTACAAAGTCCGGAGGTGCGATTATGAGATGTAGAAATAAAATGCAGGTCCGTTGACACCCTCAGGTAATAAGATTAAGACATTGCCCTTTCCAATGACAGATATGTGTCTGCTTGAGACTGTATCTGAAGTGATAGCTGATTGTGTCAGTGAGACAGTCCTGAGCACATGGCTGAGCTAGTTGGCACTGCACAAAGAGAGGGCTATACTTGCCCTATGCCAACCTTTGCCCTAACCTGGCCTGTATACCTGTATAGAAATATTCCTATATAAACCCCTGCCTCCCCCTAGAATGTGTCTTGCTGATATCTTGCTGGTACCCTGCTGTGTTGATTTCCTGTTGAAGCCAAATAGAGAGGTCCAGATGGCCTCTATTGCCATGCCATAAACCACATACCTTCACACCTCCATGCTGGAAGCTAGGCTAGCATGCCAGAAACAGCACGTACGCTATGGGAGTTGGGGCTTGGGGGATCACATAACTGCGAGTGTGGCCTTCAAGACAACTGACCATTCAGATGTTGTTCCCATGACAACCCAAAAGTTGGACACCCCCTGTCTACCGTGATTGGCTGAATGGCCACAGCTGATTATGATTGGATTGGGGTTCTTAATTGTCTGACCCTTGGAGGAGAGCTCAGATCTTCTTGCTCTTTTTATTTGTTTGAATTGCATCTGGGACTGCTGTCCCAAGGGGAACAAAGAACTCCTTGGTGCAGCTGAAGCACATGGCTGCATGCTTACAAAGATGGACTTCTTGCTCCAAACCTCTTGGGGCTATTGGATTATTACCATGGACTATTCTAGACTGATAACTGTTCCGGACTTGGTAAATATGCTTCTTACTGTGTAGTTAAGACAAAACTTGCCTAGGCTGTTATTTTGTAATCCTGATTAGTCTGTGCTAAGGTTCTCTACTGAATAAACCTTATTCTTGTTTATAATTAGTGTCTGGATTGTAGTAACTGGACTTCAAGCTAAATCCTGTTGTCTGAAACGCTGACCAAGTGTGCTACCTGTGTAAGATTAACTGCACACTCTAGATTGAGTGGCTAATGTGTAAAACCCACATGCCAACTGAGATTCTGGGGATCTCTAATCTCAAAATGGTGAGGGAGTAAGTTTAGAGATTCCTGGTGGCTATTGTGTTTAGATTCACAGAACCTATCTCTCTGGGTGATTGAGTAATGTATTGTGCCAGTGTAGAATTCTTTCCCCCATCCCTGGACTGGCCTGGGGGCAGAATCTATACAATACCATCTTTTATGTAGTGGCAAGTGGGGGCTTGGACTAACATAAGTGCTGTATGTACATGTAATGGAATGTGAAGGGTTAATGCCTCATGGAGCCAGAGAGCCTTGCGTGACAGGCTGCTCAAAGGAATTTGATTGGTTAGCATCAGTTCAGCAGAAAGACTTAGGAACTGACTGCTGAAGAGAACTCAGTTTGAGTTTAACCCCTGACTGTGGAAAGTGTAATTTTGACTGAGGAGAGTTTAGCTCTGACTGTAAAGAGTTTCATACTGACTGAGCACTGGGAAGGTTGGCAAGGAAGAGTGGGTGGATCAGTGAAGACACCCATTTGGGCCAGGATAGATCTTCTAGTTAGAGAGAAGAAATTTCCTGCCCAGCTGGAAAGGGAGATAGCTCAAAGAGTGGAGTGATCCTTAGTGTGTTTATAGAAGGAATCTGGGTACATGGCAGTGTATCCATGCCTTCTGAAACCTAGAGAGTCAGTTAAACTCAAGAAACTGTTTAGGAAACACTGAAACCAAAGCCTCTCATCTCTAAAATTCTTAGACTTCGTGAAAAGCTTAAACACTTTTACATGCTGGAAGCACATGAACTGGAGCTTGTGATTATACCATGTTACCTCAGTGTTATATTTGATTCACCTCAGACTTTTACTCTTGATTTCACCTGACCTTTTCCCCTCTACACTGAATAAAATATCTTGTTTATTTTTGTATGTTCTAAAGCCTCTCATATGCCATTTCAGAAGTTTAAGCTAAAGAGGGTGATCTTAGCAGCTTTCACACATACTGAATAATGCACTTTTAATCCACTTTCAATGCACTTTGCAACTGGAATTTGCTGTGTAAGATGGGGGAAAATCCACTTGCAAACAATTGCTAAAGTGCATTAAAAGTGCATTATTCAGTATGTGTGAAAGCACCTCTTCTTTTCCCTAAAGTTCCTGGGATGAGTGAGGGAATGAGGCTAGGTTGTCACAGAAATCCAGGGCTTTTTTTTGTAGAAAAAGCCCAGCAGGAACTCATTAGCATAATAGGTCACACCCAACAGCATAAACTCATTAGCATATTAGGCCACACCCTATGCCTTCCCTTGGCTTGCCCGGGTGCCCCACGGATGTGGGCAGCCTAGGCAAATCGGCCCTTGGAGGGGAGGGGAGGCAGTTTAAACTGCCTTCCCTTGACTTGCCCGGGCGCCCCATGGCTGCAGGGAGCCTGGGCAAGCCAACCCTTGGACAAGCTGGGGAAGGCATGGGGAGGCATTTAAATGCCACCCCGATCCTTCCAGGGTGCCCCCTGGCCTGCCTGCCTTGGAGTTGTCGGGGGGGGGTCGCTCTCCAGGCCTTCCCTCTGTAGCCATGCATGCAGAGGTTTTGCCTGTAGTGGGCATGACCAACTCTGAAGCCAGCTGGAACTCCGTTCCTGTGCGTTCCTGCCCAAAAATAGCCCTGCAGAAATCTATGTAGATTATATTGAATTTATACCCTTTAGAAGGCTGTAGTCCCATTTTACAGTTTAAGAAACATGAGCATAGCAAAAAGTGAGTAACACAAGATCAGTCATTTCATGGATGAACATTGGGGTACAATGCTTAGGGTGTAAGACAAAAGTCAGGGGCCAAAGCCTTGCTCAGCCATTAAAAATGATGGGTGATCTTGAGACAGTTGCTCTTGTTGCCATGACTATTCTGCCATTATTGGATGACTTCAGTCTCTTCTTCTCTTGGATCCATGACCAGCCCTCAAGTTCTTCCATTTTAGGAAAATCTTAGCCTGCCCTAGTAGAAAGAGTTGTTTACCAGAAGACTTAGTTGGTTTCCAGTCAGAGGGTGTGTGTTCAAGATAAAGAAGGTTAGATGGGCTAGAAGAAAGGTAGGAACAGACCACAGTGTTTTGGGCACTGGGGGCAACTTTCCATTATCATGAATGCTTAATAGAACTGTGGTCATTTTTCTGCACCAGATGCACCTTACACTGAACACTAGTTGTCCAGTTGCTACATTTCTACTTGGTTCCATGGACATCTGTTCTAGGCCCCAGTCACTGTGTTGTCATGTACAGTCAAAATGCTTCCTTTGTGGATAGTGATCTGAGGGCCCAGTTCTGGGCAAGGTCAATTCCAAGATACTGGCCCATCATGGACACAGTTTTATTCTACTCCAGTCAATGTGATGATGTTAGGTGTGATCCTATTCACTCTGCCGGCTCACTTGTCTTTGCTGTACTAATGACATTGGGGGGCTTGGACAGAGAAGAGTAAACTTTGCTCTATAATCTTCAGAATCCAGAGCCACACATCAGATAGAGAATTTCACTCCCTTTGTTGTCTAGGTTAAAAAAAACACAAAACAGGCTGATGGAAACCTTATGTATTTATTTAACTTATGTAAAATATGTTATGGATTCCGATAGGAAACTGTCATAACAGTTTTGTAACTGAACTGGCATACTATATTGCTACTCATATGCAGAAAATCTGTGACAATTACTAATAGTAATATGAATGTTTAAAACAAAGCTCTAATTTCCAGGTGATAATTGTTTATAATTGTTCCTTTAAAGTAAGCACAGGAATACAAACCTGATCGATGCATTTCCCCAGTGTAACTTTTCACTGCATTTATCCTTATCTCCCAGCAAAGATCTCCTTCAGACAAAGAGACTCTTCAGGTTTCTTCAAGAAAAGAAGATAATCAAAGTGCCTGGGAATGCAATTCTCAAGATGTAAGTTTAATCTATTTGAAGATGGGAGTAAGTATATATAGTATGCAAACCACAAAGCCTATAAATGCATGTACATTTGCTTGTATCAAAATATGCCATATACCATATACAGAATTTGGTCAGAAAAGAAGTTATTTCATATTCGGGTGCTGCAAAGCAGATGCTTTTTGATGTGAAAGACTAGTCTTCCAGGCTAATTTACAGGGGTTTTTTAAAAAAAAATTAAGAAGCAAGGAAGCTGGTAGAGATGTGATTTAATGATTAACTAGTTAAGCAATACACTTGGTAAATTAAGATGTTAATTTACAATGCCAAATCTGATACCATTCCACATATTATTCCTTTTAATGCTTTTGAGGCACATATTTGATTGCATCGTCAGTGGTACCAGGTACAAGCCATGGTATCTGTGTCTAGTGATGACATGGGGTTTATGGGTAGCATTACATGACAGTTCAAGAGGACAAATACATCACATATCATGGCTTCATATAGGAATGGCCACAAACTGGCTGACAAACTAAAGTTCATAATGAATCGTGAAGCAATGTTTGCAAACTGAAGAACCACCACAAACTTCCATGAATTTTGGTGAAGTTCATGGCGATTTCTGGCAGCTTTTTGTGGAGAACAAAAACCAGGGGTTTAAGTGGCTCAACCATGCTTTCTGCTCCCTGCTGGAAGCTGTGGGGAACAGAGAGCAGGGTTTAAATGGCTCCATGCTGAGTGGTGGAAACCCCTGCTTTCTGCTCCCTGCAGAAAGCAGGGATTTAAACTTTAAATAGTTCATGAACCAACCTCCCAGTTCATATGGGTGCATGGTTCAATCACAAACTGAACCACAAAAATGCAGTTTATGCCCATCCCTAGCTTCGTATGCCTAAGGAAAATAAATTGGTCCAGTGCAGGAAATGAACATATGAATTCATCCATTTTCCCATAGAGGTATGACTGAAGTGCTGATAATGGTTGTAGAAGCAGGTGATGGAATTATATGTCATGTACGATTCTCATTACAAAGGAACCACAGTTGCTACAGATGCAGTATATTTTAAAGGAAAAAAATTACCTAAAGGGAGATGTTTAATATGAACAGAGATGTCTGACATTATCTGGTCTAATGCACTGCTCATTATTTTTGACCTGGAATGTTTGTGCCCTATGGAAAATGGATAGGCTACACTTTCCACTTTAATACCTGCAAGGCTATATATTTGTCTAAGAAAGCTCTAGAAACATTGAACTATTCGTAACTCGCACAAATACTCCCAACTTTAACTCTTCAGTAATTCATGCTATTGAGTAATATTGTCTGTGCACTGTTGAGCTGCATATGTAATCAGTGTATAACAATACCAAAAAGTTAATGGAATAATAAGCTTTTATGTGATTAAGCAGGTGGTGAGTTCAGCAGAGGTCGGGAAGGTGCATTATCTTGACGGGATGGGCTGCATTTCCTGACTTGAACACAATCAACCCCCTAAAATGTTCTCCTTTGCTTCTATTTTAGTCTCATTACAAAGAAAGTAACAGGAATTCAGTAATACATTCACGACTGAATAATAGGATTAGGTTCTATGTAGTTAGACCTCAAGATAAATTACTGCTTTCTAGGACCAAGTGTGAATTTCTTGGGGCTAGCATTTCCCATTAAGCTTCTGCTTCTGATAATGATCCATAAGAGACGAGGGGAAGAGGGGAAGAAAACAATATGTAATTAATGAGCCCAAACCATATACAATGGTATTCTGTTGAAAATGTATGATGTGCTTTGTTTGATTACATTAGTTGCAGTGTAGAAAATTAAGCAAAGGAACAGTTCTCTTATCAGTTCATGTTCTTCTGGATATGTGTTGAGTTCATTTTGTTTTTGAATATTAAGTATATGGCTTTGCAAATTTCAGCTAATTTAAAAGTTTTAAAAAAATACTTAATGCCAAGAAATAAATGCAGAGGAATTTGTGTTGCAGTGCAAACTAAGTTAAGTAGAGAATTTAAATTTGCTACTATAATATTGAGCTCTACAAATATACATAAAACGTGCAACACTGTTCATACAACATGATTCAGTTCATATATAGTGCCTAGAGGACAATATTTAAGATATATGGCAGCCAGAATTACCCCATTGTGTGATATTGTTTTCCCTCACTTCATCCACAAATACAGGCAACTTGAAAAATAACTTTCACTCAGCCGTTTCCCACTGTTTTTTTTAATGATACCTCCTTCTGTCTCTCCTGAGGTGAGGTTAGTGAGCTCCTGAGGGTGGGGCCTTAGCTCACAGCTGTAAACTAGAGATCATTGAAGACGAGACTCTATAAGGAGGTAGACAGGTTTCCTGGGGGCCTGTATCTCAGGGCTTTCAAACAGGGACTTCTAACAGAGAAGCTGATCTTGGGAGTTCAATAAAAAAGGTTGAGTGGAAACCGGAAAAAAATCCTGAAGTCTGAGTTTCCTGGGGGGGGAAAGACATACAAGTTCCATATCAGAAAGTAGGGTGGTATGCTGCATTATATTTCCTGCTATGAGAATTTGCACAGATTCAGTTAAGGACCTTTTGCCCACCCACTCCTCGAATGAGGCACAACATGAGTTAAGGAGGGGAGGCAGCTGCTGCCAGACCTGGCCAGCGAACTGGCCTCCCATTGGCTCATGTTGGCATGCTGAGCCTCCATGGGCTCCCCCTACTCTCATGACCATTTGAGGAGGTGGGGAGTGGGAAAGTGCCAGTGCTTGCACCATTAAGCAGGCACTGGTCATTTCAACCCTGAAACAACTTTAAACAATCAAACCAGTTATGAAGCTAGAAAGCCAGTGATGGTATCTAGCTAGTGTTTTGCAGGGAGTGCCACATGTATGATTATCTGCCCACTGGGCAGAAATTGTGTGTGTGTTTACTTGTAGATGTTTGTTCCCTTGAGGTTTGGATTGCTGACCTGGAGAAGCTGATGAAGAGAAAATACATTGACAAGACCTTCAGGGACTTACTAGAACAGTCCCATTCCTGTACTGACGGTACTTCAGTACTGGTTAAGAGTGGCAAACTGTAATCTGGAGAAGCGGGCTTGAGTCCCCATTCCTCTACATGAAGCCTGTTGGGTGACCTTGGGCCAGTCACAGTTCTTGCAGAACTTTTTCAGTTCCACCTACATCACAAGGTGCCTGTTGTGGCAAGGGGAAGGGAATGCAATTGTAAGCCACTCTGAGACTCTTTAAGGTAGAGAAAAGTGGGATATAAAACCTCCTCCTCCTCCTCCTCCTCCTCCTCCTCCTCTTCTGCTGCTGTCATGGAAATTGTGTGTATTGCAGTTGAAGAGTGTTAAGCTGAAGTGGAAAGACATGATCCCTTAGATGGGATCCTTTTCTTGAATGATGGACCAATATCCTCTTGTACTGAGGATACCTCTCTAGGTTTGGAGGGAGAGAGGTTTTTGTTAGTGGATAATTCAGTTATTAGGAATATAGGATGAGGAGAGGAGATTGGATTTATACCCCGCCCTTCACTACCCAGAGGTGTCTCAGAGCGGCTTACAAACTCCTTTCCCTTCCCCTCCCCACAACAGACACCCTGTGAGGTAGGTGGGGCTGAGAGAACTCTTGACAGAAGCTGCTCTTTTTCAAGAACAGCTGTGCCAGAGTTATGGCTTGCCCAAGGTCATCCAGCCAGGTGCAAGTGGAGGAGTGGAGAATGAAACCCGGTTCTCCCAGATTAGAGTCCGCACACTTAACCACTACACCAAACTGGAGTCTGTGAAATGTGTTTTGACTGCATGATAACTTGCCTGCTGGATGTAAAGATGGATGGCATCATGCTTTAGATAGGGCTGGGGATAAATCAACAGTCATGGTGCATGTTGACACCAATTACATGGGGAAATGTCCTAGAAGAAAATGTAGGCTACTAGACAGAAAGTTTTAAAGGCCAGGGCCTCAAAGGCAGTGGTCTCAGAATCACTACTGGATCCACATGAAAAGCCAGTTAGACAGGAATAGACTAGGGCTCTCGATGTGCAAATGAGAAAGTGGTGTCGGGAGGAAGGATTTAGACTTATAAGGCACTGGGGAACTTTCTGGGACAAGCTGAACCTGTACAAAAGAGACAGGCTTCACTTGAACCCAAAAGGCAACTATGCTACTGGAGATTAACTTTAAACAGGTAGCAGAGAAGTGTTTAAACTAATTGCAGGGGTAAAGCCAACAAGATTTGGAGAGCCTCTGGTTTAGGATAACTCAGTGCAAAGGGATGATCGAATGCATTCTTCAGAATAAGAAAGGTACTGCCAAGTCTAAAAGGATGCCTGCATGGTTAGTGAAATATACTGGTTCAGATGCGTTGAGTGATTAGCTCATAGTTTATTAGTGGTTTCAGCTCAAACTAAAGACAACTCTAGCAGGGCTGGAGCCCTGCTTATAAGCCCGTAAAACGGTACACCCATTACACACCCACTCCCAACAATAGGCTATTTACAGAGGCACTCCTGGGTGATAAGTCCATCCCAAGATCCTAGCAGTTCATTGTTCTGTGTCCCCAAGCTGGGGCTGACAAAATTAGGCTCAGTACACAACAGTTAGCAATCCAAGTCATGGAAGCCATAAAAGGGGGAGGTGTCTTTTCAAAAAGTGGAAAGTCTGTCCCAATGATGTGAACAGAATGGTCCGTAAGTTAACAATAAGGTGTGCACAGAGGAAATTTCAGGATTGGATTGCTAAAAGCATCTAGAGAAAGAAAAATAATTTCTTTAAATAAATCTGAAGCAGGAAACCATCCACAGAAGCAGTTGGGCCTTTGGATGATCAAGCAATAAAAGGATTGCTAAAGGATGATAGAGACATGGCAGAGAAGCTAAGTGAATTATTTGCATTTGTGTGGAAAGTGTGGGGATATACCCACATCACAGCCACTATTTTTAGAGAAGAAATTTGAAAACTGAGTCAAATTGAGGCAATGAGTGACAGGTATGAAAATTAAAAACCAATAGGTTTGCAGGCATACATCC